AGACAGAACCAGAGACAGAGACAGAGACAGAGAGAAACAAAAAAAGGAAAAGAAAAAAGGTCTGAACAGACATTTCACAGAAGACACCAACATGGCAAACATGCATATGAAAAGATGCCCCATACCCTACATCGCCGAGGAAAGTTACATTACAACAAGAACCACGTACCAGGGCAAACCTACTAGAATGGTCAAAATCCAAACAACTACCAACACACAGTGCTGGTGAGAACGCAGACCAACAGGACTCTCCACTCTCTGGGGGCAGGGATGCAAACACAGTCACTTTGGAAGACCAAGGGGCTGTTTCTTAAAAACTAAACACATACTAACTTGTGGTCCAGGGGTCAGACTCCTTGGGATGTACGCAATGGACTGGAAACTTAAGCCAACAAAGCCTGCACACGGATGTTTCTAGCAGCTTTATTCATAATTGTCAAATGTTGGAAGCAACCAAGACGTCCTTGAGGACTGTGGTATGTTCAAAAAATGGAACGCTACTTAGCACAAAAAAGCATTGAGCTATCAAGCTGTGAAAAGACACGGCCACAACTTCAAAGCCTATTGCTAAAGTGAAGAAGCTAATCTGAGAAGCTTATGGACTGTGTCATCCCAACCACAAGACACTGAGAAGGCAAAGCTATGGTGACGGTAATATTTGTGTGCCAAAGGACGGGGGTCGGAGGGCTGGGGAAGGCTGTAGAGACAGAGTAGAGGAGTGTAGGGCAGTAAGGATAGTCTGTAGAACAGGAGAGTGGTAGGAAGGTGTGGCTGTACATGCATCCAAACCCACCAGCAGGACGACAGCAAGAATGAACCTTCAGCCAACTATGGCCTTTTGGGATGTAGATTCACCCACCCTAGCACAGACAGGACTGTGCAGCCTGCTGACCTCTGGGGTGTCTGGGTGCACTGCAACAGGGTTATACAGAAATGCTGTATTTTCCATTCAATTTTTTTGGTTTTTGTTTTTTTAGGAAGATCTTACTATGTAGTCCAGGCCGATTTTAAACTCCCTGCAATTATCCTGCCTAAGCCTCCTAAGTACTGGAATTACAAGCATGTACCACCACATCTGGCTTCCACTCAATTTTGTGTTGAACTAAAAGAGCTCTAAAAGATAAAGTTCATTAATTAAAAGCAAAATGAGGGCCTGGGGATGCATCTCAGCAGCTGAGCACCTGCCTGGCAAGCAAGAGGCCCTGAGTTCAATTCCCAGTGCCAGAAAAAAGTAAAATAAGATAACCATTTAATTCAGAAAACATGGTATCCTGAAAGTTACTAAAGAACTAGGAAACATTTACTTGGTTCTTCAACATAACCTGGAATGGTAGTTATTTTAAAAGTTAACTGACCTGTTCTTCAGAAAAGCAATAGCACAAAACAGACTTTCTGCTAAATTCCCAAAACTCAACACATGCAGGAATCATGAGTAAAACTAAGACATATGCACATGAGATCTCAGAAAGATCATTTTAGTGCTCCAAAAGCTGAAAATGGACCTCACGTGCTCAAGACCCCAAGTTCCATTTCTAGCAGAGTAAGGTGGGGTAGGGAGACAGAGGCCTCTAAAAGCTACCCAAAGGGGAAGTCCTGCACTGGATTCTGAGCATCTGGAAAACAGGCTCACTGAAGCACACACAGCAAACCAAAACAACCTGCTTCACAGACTTGCTCCTGAGAGGGCTGGGTACACATTATCCACATCAGCTTCCAGCAAGAGCTTGTGCGACACATAACGATTTTCCTCGTTTTAACCAGCTGCCACGTGCAAGCCTTGTCTTTAGGTCACGAATGTGCGAGCCATGCTTCAGAGGCTGCACAGTCAGTAGAACGCAGCGCGGCCGCAGAGATGCCTCGCCTAGCCAGAGGGCTTTGGAATCTGAATGCGCTTAGGCGAGCCGTGTCCTCTCTCTCTGCACCCTCCGTCCCATCACTCATCTTCTCAAAGCCAGAGCAAATCTCAGTTTTGTGCTCTGACTGCACAGGAAACTGCCTTGAGGCCTCCAACCTGCATCACTATTCTTAAAACTGGAGCTCTACTCCAGTCCTTTCATTTAAAATTTACGAAATTCTAAATATTATATGAATAGTTTTGCCTTAGAAAACGAATCATTTTCCTTCTATTTGCATCCTCGTATTTGGAGTCTGCCTACACTTTCAGCATGATGATGCTGAACAAGCCTACTGCAGAGGGACAGCGGCCGGTTACTGACCTTGGGTATCCACAGGAGCTGCACGACGGGTAGGCGCTGTAGCAGCTGGTAGTGCTTAGGTCCTCTTTTCTGTCAGGTTAGGAGCTGCGCTCAAACACTGCTACCATTTGGTGAGTCTGTAAGTTACTTACTCCACAAAGCGTGCGCACACGCTGAAGCAGGCAGCGTGCTCAGGAGTGACAGCGGCTGGCAGAGTTAGACCCGTGACAGCTGTGTGCACTGTGCACCACCGCTGCAACACGTCCTGTCCTGCCCAGCTGACCTACACACACCTAACAGAGCACACCAAGGGCTTTCAGGCTGGAGTTACCATTTTCTATGTGACTGTACCCAAGCCACTGACTAGTACTAAATGGAATAAAGGCTCCTTATGTGTCAGGACCGAGTTCAGGCACCAGAGCTTCCCAGGCCCTGTAGGAGCTGATGCCACCTGCTCCCTACCGTGTGGGAGGTACGTTCCTTGACAGGCCTTAGTGCAGTAACTGCACTTGCCGTGCAAAATAGTAAAAGAGCAGTTTTCAGCCTGGGTATGGTGGTGCACTCCTGTCATCCCAGCACTCAGGAGGCTGAGGCAGGAGGATCGTTGCAAATTTAAGTCCAGTCTGGGATACAAAGTGAGTCCAAGGCCAGCCTGGACTGCATAGCAAGACACACACAGAAAGTTTTCAGCCATTTTCCTTCCTAACCTTCCACTCCCTCCTCTTCCTTTCTTTCTTTGCTTCTTCCTTTCTTCTTTCTTTTAATATTTCAAAGCAAGCTCTCAATCAGGTTTTTAAAATTGTATTTACAAGACAGTACCTCAGCTTATAGAGACATACACAGCACTACTTCAGGGTTTTCTGTGCATTTCACAAAGCGGTCTTTCTTTGAGACCGTACCGTAAGTGAAATAAATCAGACGCACACGGGTAAACATTGTGTGGTCTCACGAGTGTGAGAAGCTGAAAGAAACATGCATATGTATACGCATGTATACAGGCATATAACACACAGCTAAGACTTCTCCGAGTTCACTGAAGACAAAGACCTGTGCTGGTGTTGTGCAGACAATTGAGTGCAGACGTCCTCTGCTCTGGGTGAATGATGTGAGGGTGACAATGTATGGTGTGCATACCATTGTTGTCCCCTGATTGACATGTTTTGAACTTTTTAATTTTTTTCTTTCTTTTTCTCTTTGAAATAAAATGGATTTAGAAAAATACTGGAGGTCAAAAAAAAAAATACTGGAGGTCAAGGACAACATCAAAAAATAAATAAATAAAATTACAAGAGCTTCCACATGACTCCTGGTTTTCCTGTTATAGGAGAAAAGGGTTGAGAAATGAGCCTTTGCTACTCTTAAAGGAAAATACTGTCTGCCCCTAAAGAAAATGTAACATTTCCTCTCAATCTCTCTCCAAATCCTCCTCCATTTTCTTTTTTTTTTTTTTTTTTTTTTTTTTTTTTTTTTTGTCTTTTTCCTTTTTATCGGTACCGGGGATTGAACTCACGACTGCCTGCTTGCAAGGCAGGCACTTATGCCACTGAGCTAAATCCCCAGTCTCCTCCTCCATTTTCTATCAATATGCATTTCTCTCCTGACAGCCTTAGTGAGACACCAACACAGCTTCCCTGAGACACAGATCACTATATGAGCTAAACCCCATTCGGTTAGGACATCTTTAAACCCTCTTAATGCTTTCATGGCATTTTAGTAGAAAATCAAAAAATTTAAAAATTAAGCCAGGTATGGCTGGTCCCAGAACTATGGAGGCTGAGACAGGAGGATCACAACAAGTTTAAGGCCAGCCTGGGCTACAAAGTGAATTCAAGTTCAGCCTGAACTACACAGAGCGAACTCATGGTTTATAACAAAAGCAAAAACAAAAAGGATGAAGCCATGCTAGCTGTTCAGTACACAGTTATCTTACTGGGTCTACCGATCTACATACTGGAAAACCCTTCAACTTTCATGGTTAAAGCACTAATGCTCGACAGCTTACCTATTATATATTATTATATCCATTCTACACTTAACAAAATGGGACCTGTTGAAACCCACAAAACGCTGGTTAGCCAACCATGGGGCCCGAGCCTGCAATCCTGACTGAGATGGGAGGATGCGGCGAACGCAAGGCCAGCCTGAACTGCCAGCGACACCTGCCCAAAAAGTCAAAATATTTGAAGTAAAACTTAAACTGTGGCACTTCGGGCTGGGGTTTTTGCTCAACGGCACAAGCACCTGCCTGGCAAACGTGAGATCATGAGTTCCATCCCTGGTACCAAAAAATCCAAAAACAGCCACTCTTACAGCTTATTGTTTCTCTACTGGCACCTGCCCATGGGGACAAGCTAGAAAAATAAATCATTAAAAAATTGTGACATTTCTTATTTCTACTATTCAAATATTCCTTATAAATATATAAAGAATTTTTCTTTATTTACTTATTTGTTTATTTATTTTTTAGCTTTTTGGTTTTTTTGAGGTAGACTTTCACTAGGTAGCCCAGGCTGGCTTCAAATTTATAGTGATCTGGGACTGGGGAGTTAGCTCAGTGGTATAAGCGCCTGCCTGGCAAGTGTGAGGTCAAGAGTTTGATTCCTGGTACTAAAAAAAAAAACAAAAACAAAAACTTGCACTGATCTTCCTGTCTCAGGCTCCTAAATGCTGGGATTACATGTATGCAACACTATACCTAGTCTGAATTTTATTTGTAAATTAGTAAGTATTAATGTGTTAACCTAGAAGTATATACATCACACACACAAACATACAGAGCAAATAAAGACCGAAAATAGCTCTTACCTTCATCTCCTTCTGGTGCATAGGAAGCTGTAATAATGTCGATGTCAGCACAGTTCATCACGATCTGATTGGTTGCCTGCCTCACCTGAAGGGAAAAGAAAAACCAGCAGTGAGAAAGAGCCCAAATCACCAGGATACATCATACTCAGGTACAAACGCCTATGACGAACATGATCGTTATGTAAATCTAAATTGTTATCAACAAACAATATAAAAATATAAATACAAAAAATAAAAATAAAAAATAAAGTCCAGATTTAAAAAAATAAAAATAAAGCCCAGATAAATAATATGTACACTACCTTGGACAGAGGGCACAGGTGATTTTTTAAAACCCAAACATCATTAAAATTTAGACACTTCATGCAAAAATGATAAAACAAAGAGAGTACTTTTACTACTACAAGACAATTCACTTTACAAATTATAACAAAAGCAATAATAAATGTTTAAGAATTTGACATCATGGGGCCAGGAAAGAGCTCAGCAGCACAGTGCCCGCCTAGCAAGTGCAACACCCTAAATTTGATCCCTGGTATGGTGGGAGGGCGAATTTCACATCATTTAAACATATGATACAATGAGGGGGAAAAAAGTATCTTTTCTCCCTAAACCTTGTTTTAAAACAATTTGTTTTCTTTCTTCTGGTACCAAGAATCAAACTCAGGACTTCACACTTGCCAGCCAGGCACTGAACTATCCCAAGCCCCGTAACTTTTTGATTTCAAAACATGAGTCAGACATGGAAGCATACACATGTGGAAGCCTGAGACAAGAGGATCACTGCAAGCTTGAGTTATTCTGCGCTACACAGTAAGTTCAATGCCTATCTGAACTACATAGTAAGTCCTTGTCTCAAAAGACAAAAATAAAACATAAATAATAAAATTAATTTAAAAAGCTATACCTAAGAGTAATCATTTAATAACAATTACATAGCTAAATTAAAATTACTCATCTAGCCAGGTGTGATATCATACACCTGTAATCTCAGTACCCAGGAAGCTGAGGCAGGAAGACTGCTGTGAGTTCCAGGCCAGCCTGAACTGCATAGTGAGACTCTATCTCAAAAAAATAAAATTACTTCGTCTAAATTACAGATAATACTTTACTATGCCTATAATAGGCTGTCAAAAGTTCCCAACTCATGAACTACTTTGACTCATTAAAAAAAAAACCCTATGGCCAGGCAGGCTAGCACACATATGTAATCCCAGCACTCAGGAAGCTGTGCCAGGAGCATCAGTGAATTCAAGGCCAGCCTGGGCTATATAGGAGACTTTTTTGTTTGTTTATTTGTTTTGATTGGGGGTTTTGTTTTGCTTTGTTTTTTTCGTACCAGGGATCGAACTCACGACTGCGTGCTTGAAAGGTAGGCACGGGGCTGGGGATTGAGCTCAGTGGCATAAGCGCCTGCCTTGCAAGCAGGCAGTCGTGAGTTCAATCCCTGGTACAGATAAAAAAAAAAAAGACAGAAAGGCAGGTACTTATGCCACTGAGCTAAATCCCTAGCCTGTTTATTTGTTTTTCGAGACAAGATCTTGCTATATGGTTCAGGCTGGCTTTGAACTCATTTATGTAACCCAGGCTAGCCTCAAACTCAGCAATCCTCCTGTCTCAGAAGTGCTGAGATTATAGGCATGTACCATCATACCAGACTCATAAGCCTGGGTTACATAAAAAAAAAAAGAGAGAGCAAACAACAACAACATAGATATAGATTATAAATATAGAAATTGGCCATATATATATACATACATACATATATATACACACACACATATATGGGCTAAGGGTATAGCACAGGGGTAAAGCATGTGCTTAGCATGCACAAGGCCCTGGATTCAATCCTTGGTGCAAAAAAAAAAAAAAACCTCACAAATTGTCCTATTTCAAAACAAAAATATCATTTAATAAACAGCCTTTTTATGTGGCACTATCCCTTCCCACTGAGTATTTCACCACAATGTATCCAAGCCTTTATGCTCAAGTGGCGATTTCTGGCATTACATTTGAACAAAATGAAAAAAAACAAACAAACTATAGAATTTGCCCACTTATAAACTGACTTAAAGGGACAAAACTGAGAAATGGTACTAAAGCACTTACTGGGGTTTGCTTCAAAGGGTAAAATAAATAAATATCTTTCAGATTTTATGCTACCACAACAGTAATAATGTCTTTATCCTCAACTAGGCAACCATAATGTCACCCATCAATACCTACAGTGGTCTGATCTGTCAACATCAAGACGACTGCCCAGCTGGGTGTGACAGCGCACACCTATAACCCCACCACTTTGGAGGCTGAGGCAGGAGGACTGTTGCAAGTCTGATGCCACCCTCAGCTACATAGTGAATTCAAAGCCAGCCTGAGCTACATCACAAGACCCTGACTAAAAAAAAAACACAAAAAAACAAGCAGATACCTGCACAGCATCACACTTGCCAAGTTACACCCAGCACACTACTACTGCACTACACCCTTTTTGAGAGAAAGTCTTTAAGATGTTTTTGTACTTTGGAAAGGTATAGTGTACAGGAGGCTGGGGATTTAGCTCAGCGGCATAAGCGCCTGCCTTGCAAGTGTGCAGTAGTGAGTTCGATCCCTGGTACCAACAAAAATGAAAAAGACAAACAAACAAAAAAAAGGTATAGTGTACAACATCCATTTCAAAGTATATTGTAGGGGCCAGGGATTTAGCTCACCGGCTTAAGTGCCTGCCTGGCAAGTACAAGGTCATGAGTTCAATCCCCAATACCCCCCCAAAAAATAAAAGTATATTCTTTTTTTTTTTTTTTTTTTTTTTTGGCCTCTTTGAGACAGGGTCTCACTATGCAATTTAAGCCTGGCCTTGAGCTCACTTGGTAGCCCACGTTGGTCTCCAACTTGCAAGGATCCTCCTGCCTCAGTATTCTACATGTTGGCATTACAGGAATGTGCCACCACGCCCAACTCCAATTCTTTTTACATTTAGGGAAAACTCACCTATTACACTAACATGCAGTTCAGGCTGGCCTGGAACTCAGCAATCCTCTTGCCTCAGCCTTCTGAGTGCTGAGATTACAGGCATGTGCCACATGCCTAGTAAAAATACTTTTCTTAAAATTAGAATTTCACTCAACCTTTAACAATCAGTCAGCATACCCCATAGTAAGTGTACTTTGATTTAAAAAGCTAACCAAGGACAGGAGTTAGAGCTTAGGGGCACAGCACCTGCCTGGCAAGCACAAGGTCCTGAGTTTGATTTCCAACACCCAAAAAAAAAAAACCAAAAATGGGATAATCTGTGGAGAGTGCTTATGCTAGCACTTACTGCCTGACAGGTAGTAATTACCTAGTAACAGAAGTTACTAAGACACACACACAGATTGTGTACCCATATCATACAATAGCATTCAACTAACAGTTTATAAAGTAATCAGAAGAAAAGAGCCAGGCATGGTGGTACACTCCTGTAATCCCTGCACTCTGGAGGCTGAGGCAGGAGGATCACTGCAAGTTTGAGACCAGCCTGGGCTACAAAGTGAGCTCAGAGCCAGCCTGAACTGCACAGTGAGACCCTGTCTCAAAAAAAAAAAAAAGAAAAGAAAAAGAAAATACAAGATCTATGTACACTATTATATAGCTGTCTGGGTATTAGCACATATCTACCAACAAGAAGGTCACTGAAAATGTCCTCATGGACATGGTATACATGCACAGATACTAGCACAGCTGTAATGCTGGGCTTCTCGATAATTTCCCAGCCACAGCACTGATCTGAGTATGTGATTCTCACAGACTGTCATAAACACATTAGTAAATGTAATGTGTGTTTTCTTTTTTTTTTTTTTGAGACAGGGTCTCACTATGCAGTTCAGGCTGGCCTTGAACTCACTTTGTAGCCCAGGCTAGTCTCGAACTCGCAACAATCCTTCTGCCTCAGCCTCCCAAATGCTGGGATTACAGGTGTGAGCCACCACCCAGCTTTGTGTTTTTTCCACTATCAAAAAAAAAAGTGCTAATTCAAGTGAAGTGCAGCATTAAAATGTTCAATTTCCAAGTTTAAAATAGCAGTGAAGTGTTAAGGCTAACATACACACTGAGAGCTCACTGTCAACTATCCCCTCTGAGCCACTGAAGGGCAGAGTTGCTATAGTCTTCTTCTGTCCCCAGCCCTTCTGTCTTCAGTCTCTTTGGGCACTTGGACTAGCCAGGCACTAAGGGAGGCCCCGGGATAGTCTGACAGTGAAAGCTGCCTGGAAGCAAGGAGGAAGTAATCTGTGACAGGTTTTCACTGAATGAGCCTTTATTACAACCACTCAGGAACACATTTCACATTTCCTGCAATAAGACTCAACAGACTGGGCTTGTTTTCCATTTTGTTTTGTTTTTATTTTGATTGCAAGGCATGAGAAAATCTCCAGTGTGTCAATTTCAAATGCCAATCAGTCTAAAGCCTGCGTCACTTGCCCGATACATGATTTCCCTTAAATCTTGTCATTGTAGTCTTAATAGGATGGTACTGTAATTTTTAAGTTAATATGATGCAAATAGTAAACTCAAATTAAGTCAAGTGTTTCTGGGGTAAGATTTTTTGTTTTGTTTTTCATTGTTTTCAGCAGTACAGCGCCTCGCACATGCCAGACAAGCACTCTCCCACCCTATTACTGAGTTATAATCCCAGTCTTTTTTATTTAATTTTGAGATAGTGTCTCACTAAGTTGCCCAGACTGAAAACCTCAAACTTGGAATCCTCCTGCCTCAGCCTCCTGAGTCCTGGATTACAGATATTCAGCTATATGAAAGACTGATACACACCTGCCTTAAAACAAAGGTTATCTGTAGGGAGTAGAATACATGGAATGGGATTCAGTGGAAGCTGTGATATTTTTCTCCCCAAAACAATATGTACAGCAAATCAGGCAAAACATTAAGCCTGAGGGGAAAGTAATTTTTCTGTATATCTAAAATATTTATTGATTTAAAATAAGATTTGCACAGGTATGGTGACACACCCCTGTAATTCCAGCACCTAGGTGGCTGCAACAGGAGGACTGCCACCAGTTTGAAGCCCATCTGAACTATATAGGGAGATACTGT